CCAGTCACTTTAATCACTCCCCTTTGGATTCTTTTTTTTTTTTAATAAATAACTTATTGACAATTTCATACATGCACATAAGGTGTTTTAATCAAATCCATCAAATCCATGCCCACTCCAACTCCTCCCATATCCCCCATCACTTTTTTTCTGACAACTTCATATACTCTTCTTTTTTTATTTTTAATCGGGCTTTTGGCTACTCTAACTTTCCCTCTCCTGAGGAGGTAACCCTAAAATCTTTTAAGGATTAGATAAAAACTCCAAAATACTTTTGACATTTTTGGCCTTTGGAACAGAGTATGTTGATAAGAGGCCCAAGGACATTTTGACTTTTAGCCAAGAAACTGGCTACTTTTTTTGTGGTCTTTTTATACTAACTGACTAGCCAATTCCTATATCCTATTCTTATTGCACCATCATCTGAAGAGGTTATCCAGCTTACCAGATAGGGAATTGAGACACAGGCCACTCTAGCTTCTTCCATGATGAACAGGGACACAGGGTGAGGCAATTAGGGTACCCCTTCAGTGGGTCTATCTAAAAGGCTCAAATTGCATAACTCTTATCTGTAGGGGGAAAAGAAAGTCCTTGACTGTTGAATAGAAGATGTGAAGAAGTAAAGGCAAGAGTAATTAGCATTACAAGTACTATACAGGGAACTAGAAAAAAAATCAGAACAGGGCAAATTTCAAATGCTCATATGAGAGTCCATTGGAATTTCTTTATGAGAGCTTCCAAAAGAATCCCTCTATTGGGTTCCTCCTCATTTTTCTTTTGTCTTCCAAGGCTGGACTCGAGAGTGGTGGATTCAGGATTTGCTTACAGGCATTTTAATAGCTGTTGGAGTGGTTAGAATTAGTATCAGTCCCCTGTCAAAGGCTTCTAGAAAGAGGGAGAAAACAAATTTGGCCATCATTTTAGAACAATAGCAGGTTGTCTCCCTTAGCTGCAGGAGGGGACTACAGTAATGGAGACCAATATTTAAAGTCTTACATCTGAGCAGCACTTCCTGATTCAGAACAAAGTAATCAATGAGAAATAACTGTCTAAATAACTTTTTGTATGGTCTTAAGCCTAATGTCTGGGAATTGTAATCCCTTGAACTATTAAAGAAATATACTGATTACTTTACTCTTTGGTTATACTTTCCTTTTTGGTATTTAAGACCATACAGTTGGCCCAAATAAATCAATTTATATTTACACTTAAGGTCACTTGAGGATCTGTTCCTCAGGGGTCACATGGGCTTGGGAGGAGCCCTGGCTCCTTTTACCAGTTCCATCTATGTGAAGATAAGTCAAAGGTCCTACTTGACCATGGCTGGCTTCACTTGGAAGCATGGAGGAAATATTTTCTCTGAGTTCACCCTCCTCTTTGTAGACTGGACACTGGTTCAAGTCCATCTGGTGGGCCTCCCTGAACAAGAGGACAGGTGATTCACCACAGTTACAGGACGTTTTGAGAGATGTCCCACAGTCTCCTGGAACTTAGTTGACCTTAAAGGGTAAGGGTAAAAACTGTCCTTTAAGTCCCTCTGACCAGATTAGTATAGG